CAAGCACCTCTGAAATTGGTTCGAATGCCCCTTTAGCAAAAAAATGTTATTATCTACCGGGGGAAGAGTAAACTACACTCTGTAAAAAGTGACTACTTAGGTTTTTAAAAACGTTTCCAGTTCCCGAATAATTTTGAACCCGACCTGCCGTTACACTTGCACTCGGGTTTCCAAACTACAAGTCATATGTTTTCCACGTACGGAAAAACATACAGGGAGAGAGAGAGAGAGAGAGAGAGAGAGAGAGAGAGAACCTTGCCTGTCCGTTTTAAGGAGATAACAAAACTATCCGTGGAAAGTAGATGGTGGCTTACCTTGGCCACCTGGTCGAGTTGGTGGACAGACCCAATTCGATACGACCGGGCCTTCTCCCGACGAGCGTGACAACGAAAGGCTGCACAGAAGAGTTCGAAAGAGTAAATGCTGGAAGCGGATCAATGGGAATCCGTGACGAATCATTCAGGTAGTTCCCGTTCATGTCGCGATAAGTAAATTCGAACGTGAAGTTCTCCCCAGGGAATATGCTGTTAGAGAAGAATAGTATTTCAAGTCTCAATCGGGAACTAATCAAGATGCTGGATAATACGGCCAATTAGTCGATCATTTTTAGTGAAGATAGAATAAAGGAGAGATCAAACACCGCGTGTTCTTCTTTTTAAGCTCTCGAAACAGGAAAACGCTTTTGGAGATCTGCGAACGTCTCTGATGATGGATCCGAGTGAGAATCCAAAACGTCAGCCAATAAACTTCTTGTTCCAGTGATCGCATCTTCATCTTCCAAAACGTTTTTGATCAAGCAACTCCGGTAGTATGCATGTTACCTTAACAGTACGCCTTTAGTAGCTGAGCCACCCCGCTAATAAGGCAAACCAGTGCAGTCTGCAGAATTCTATGCAGACTAGAGGCAGGTATAATGAACGCCCCGAGTCGCTCTGGACAACTCGAACAGACGAGGGTTTCGACTTAGACCATCATGACATATGAGAGAGGGGAAGAACAAACCCTTATTTGGAGATAGGCAAAAGCTTTAGTGAAAATGTTCAAAACATAAGAGGTCAACAGGAGCTGGACGCTTGACGAGGGCACTCCGCGTTTCCAGACCGTTTTTAGAGGATTTTGAAATCTGGTAATCAAACTGTTAAATGACCGCATAACACGTGTGCATCCTTTTCTAAGTGTATGCACAAGCTGGGCGATGCAACATAAATGGATTGTCGATGGCACGTTTTATATAATTCAGCAGGAAATGATCAGAACATTCGCCCAATCTGTTAAGTTGCCTTTTCCTGACATCCAACTTCCAAGGTGCGGCAGTAAGACGACTCAGTTGAGATTGGCGGGCGTGCTGACATACTAAACTCAAAAACCGCGTAAGAAAAAGTGACTAATGCCTTCTGCACCGACCTTTCATAACAACCTCCTAATTTTCCACCAACGCGGCGGTAGGAGAAAATGCTATTGGGATGCTGAACACATTGCAGATGGTCGCATAGAAACACGCTCTAAAAGTCCTTCGCTGGCAGTGGTTATGAAGAAGCTCGAGAAATCAAAAGGAGGAAAGTGGGAACAAAGCTCGTATCGAAACGTCAATGCTAAGCAAACGAATTAACTTGGGGTCGGAGACGCACTCAAAGCGGAAGCAACAATCCGTCAACAGTTGAAGCACATTACGACTGCACGGTCCACCGATCAAATGCGAGTGCTACAAAGTTGGCTTTGTTAATACAACAGGCAGACGAGTTTAAATAAAAATATTCTAATACAAATTTGCTATAGTGGTGGAATTCCAACTGTCCTCTTGAATGCTCAATCACCCTGCGGCCACCAGGCGCGGACACATACGTGGGACAATAGAACAGTCTTCGAGTATGTCTAGCTGTGAAATACGCGAGCACTCGGGTCTGACGAAAAGGTTGTCGAGACCATGAAACAGTAATGCCTTCGGGTATTCATGAAATCCATCTGGCAAGTCCGTCACCCGCAAACAGACCACAGGCTATAATATTAACACAAGGAGAATCCTGCATCCCATTTGATAAGATTACAAGTGCTGTCCAACAGAATCCTGAAATCTTAGACAAGTGTGCCAAAAACGTGAGTGGGGACGTCTACATCCGAACTCGGGCAGTACACATAATCGCTCATTTCCCCAATATTCTAAGCCCATGCGAAGAGAGCCGTAGCTCAACTTCGTTTCTGGGACGACTGAGGGGACCTCAGTCCACGTACTCTGACTGGGCATGCCATGGTGAGAAATTTCCTGGTGAAAAACAATAACTATCTTCTCCATAAAATAAATTTGCCGTCAATCACGTGACATCGAGCGACGTGGAGGAACCGATTCCGGTTCAACTGCACGAAGCGCGAGACCTACTACGTTTACCAGCCAACAAGCATGTCGATCCGCCACTCAACTAACACGTACTGCCCGAACAAATGAGTAGATTGGTCGGGGTTCAGCGGCAGCGGAATTGAGTTTTAATTACAATCGGACTGTGCAATTTCACATGCCCTTTACGGTGGGTTCTACAGTTCGAAGTCAGGAGGATGAGTTAGTAAGTCTAGACAACGAGAATGTAAGACTAAAACAGATGTCCCACTGCTCGTGGACTTTTAGATCTTGTTCTGACACTGTATGCCCAATCGCCTCGTAGATTGCACCTATTTGTGATAGGTGACGCCCTAATCCCAAAATTTGGAGCTGATCGAAGACCGGTGCGAATGATTTCAAAGTAGACCACGAACTTCGTGACCGTCGGCGAGGACGAGGTAACCAGTTTTTACGAAGCACTACTATGCATCCTCTCCAGCTTAAAACCCACAATATGCCAAAATATTTTCAGTTAGAACACAGATTGCCTAGATAGGATGGCAGTACGTAACTTATGTGTCTTCGCCGTTACCACAAACGCAATCACGGTTTGGTGAACTGAGAAAAATACCAGGAAACCGAGATGACGGGCACTCAAAAAACAGATTCTGTCTGAATTTGTGCGTTGAAGCATGCTTGGATAGTACAACTGTACATTCTTTTATTTTGTATTTGACATCTAATGCATTCATACAAAACTGAAAACTGTCTTGTTCATTCAAAGAATTGAGTGGAAGTGTTTCGCTACGTGGGTACCTACAGTTGAGTTTAACACACGTCGCACTTTCCAGTAGCTCAAACTGACGTTGAATGTCTGGCCGACAATGCAACTGTTAAACCTACATGTCTTCCTACAGCAACATTATGCGAGGGCGATGAACAGGAAGCTTGGCCCAATTGGTGTTAACGGCAAGGCGTATTATCCCGTAGGGGGGTGGTCATCAGTTTTTGAGGAAAAACACGCTGCTACTGGTTGACTAAACGGCAAAAGTTTGGCAGCGGCTAGCCAGCGATTTTCCTGCAGCCTCCAACCACACTTTCCCGGCAATTGCAGGAGAAAATTTTCTTTAAATCTTAAGAGATTGTGCCGCGTATAGTTCTTACCATAGTGGGCACTTGTCTTAATGGCTACTGTCAGAGAAGAACAAGATTCGAAGACTCACGTGAAGTAAATGTTGATAAACGTAGTTTCATTAGCTTCAAGAACAGCAGAGGAAGTGCCGAAGTTAATTTCCAAGTCTTCGAAGAGTTGATCATCATGATGATCATCAGCGGCACCCGTTTCGGAATAAAGCTCATGGACAGCTTTCGCTTTAAGGATGTCACCGCAAGTAACCGAGAGGTAAAAAGTGAAGTATAAATAAAGCACGTAAAATCTCATCATTTTCTGTTATTGATCGGGAACATATGCCCTTCACCTTCCGGTAACGTGACCTTATGGATTATTATAGGGTATTTAGGGCAAACGGGTGCTTATTAGTAGAGGACGGCCTTTGTTGGATTTCTCTTGCGGCCATAGTGTTCAGGGGCCTGAATATTGTCGGATAGTCGTTGTAAATAACTTGTTCACGTTCTTATCTAGCCTAGACACTCAGCTGCCTCGAAATAGACAAATGAAATCCTTCAGGGCACAAAAACGCAAAAACTTGACGGCACGACCATGAGTTGCAGACACAAAGGTCTGATTGATGTCTAAAGTTAGTCATGTTGGAGTTTACTTAGAGTAAAACAGCTTCTTTCAGAGTGAAATTTTCCTGTTGTGCTCTCTTATAGGCTATACGACCAGAGGGACTATTTCGCGTTAAAATATCCAGTCGGAAATACTGATTTTCAGATTAGGGCAAAAACATCTCGTGTGTGTGTGTTGACTTGAAGCATGTTTATTGGGTTTGAATAATTTCGAAAGTGTGGTATTTTATGTGTAGTGCGTGTCGGACAAGTATGCGGTAGTAGGAGATTCTGCGAATCCCAAAATGCGTTTGAATTATGTTCGGCGCATGGGACAGGCTCCCGAACGAATAATTCTGTCGAATTCTTTGATACCATCAGGGTATCCCACACCATACAGGTGTTTTTTTAATTTCATATCTTTTGCATTCGCCGATTTCGCGCTTATCCTGGTCCTTCGTAACTTAGGTGCACAGACTACAACGGAAAGATACTTCCGACTTTGCGCCACACTAAAGACTGTTATACAAGCTGGAACTATTAGGGGTCAGATGTAACTTCCCCAAATGCGTCGGTACCAGGTTATGCATCGGTTAAGAGATATCAGATCCCGCTGTGGTCAATAATGGGGTTCACCAGTGTCCTTATATGCCCTTTTTGTTCTTCTACGCGTGGACGATTGCATAAGAACATTGGACTGCGAAATAGCAATGTTTTCTGACTGCATGAAAGCATGGTGTGTAATCCGGAGTCCTGGTGATGTAGGCAGGCTCCAGATAAAATTCAGTCGGTTACAAGAAGGGTCGAGTTGCTTTTGTGTGCGGTTAAACGTCGACAAATTAACCATAATTCTCCTAAACAATTCGTGCCCGGAATGTCCGTTGACACCGAGGGCACGTTGGAAGCGGTTGTGCGTCGGCGTTGCGGACGGGGCGTAGCTGTGATTTGCGTGCTTCGCGCTTCACTTGGCAGCGGCGATGCTGTTGGTCTCATAGATCGCAGCGTCTGTCTTCACTTTCCTCCTCCAGGTCGGTCGGTTGAGGGCGAGCTCTTCCCAGTTGGTCGGGTTAATTTGCAGACGCTTCAGGTAGGAATTTAGAGTCTCCCTGTATCGATGATTTTGGCCTCCTCGGCGACAAGAACCCGTGGTGCTGTCTCCGTAGAAGAGTCGTTTGGGTAGTCGCTCGTCGGTCATGCGCACCATGTGGCCGTTCCAACGCAGATGCATTTGTCTCAGCATGGTGTAGATGCTGAGGATTCCCGTCCTTTCCAGCACATCAGTGTCGGGGATTCAATCCTGCCAGTTCAGCCTCAGGATGCGATGGAGACAACTGAGGTGAAAGTGGTTCAGTCGACGGGCCTGCTTTGTGTACACTGTCCAAGTCTCCGCTCCGTACAGCAACGTCGGCAGGATGACGGCCTTGTACATCTTCAGCTTCGTGCTCAGTTTCAGACCGTGACGATTCCAAACTGTGCTTTGGAGGCGGCCGATAGTTTGACTAGCTTTCGAAATCCTGCGGGCGACTTCGTCATCGATTTTGGTGTTACGAAATGGGGTGCTGCCCAGGTACGGGAAGTTCTCCACCACTTGCAGTTTGGTTCCGTTCACGCTGATTTGCGGCGTCGCGTTGGGGGGTGTGGCTGTGGTGGATGGCGTTTGATGCATGACCACCGTCTTCTGCGTGTTGATGACCAGACCGAAGTTCTCGCAGGCAGCGGAGAGCAGGTCCATGCTCCGTTGCATCTCCTCTTCCGAGGTGGTCTTCAGGACGCAGTCGTCGGCGAAGAGAAGTTGATGAACGGTGGTTGTGGATACGCGTGATTGGAAGTGCATCCGCCGTTGATTCGGAAGGTAACCGTCCATCCTGTAGGCGATGCGGATCCCGGGGCGTTCATCACGGTGGGCGTCCATCAGCATGGCAGAGAACATTAGACTGAAGAGGGTAAGCGTCAGCACGCGTCTCTACTTCACTCCGTTGGACACTGCGAATGCCTCTGAGACAGCTCCGTTGTCCGTGACTCGCGTCATCATACCGTCGTGCAGCTGACGCACCATCTGAGTGAATCGCTCCGGATAGCCGAATTTCTGCATGATCTTCCACAGTCCTGCACGATTCACCATGTCCAGGGCTTTCGTCATGTCTTTGAAGGTAGAGTATAAGTGGGTCCGCATCTCCTGGCACTTCTCCTGAAGTTGACGGGCGGGGAAGATCATGTCCGTGGTCCCGCGATGACGACGGAAGTCGCATTGGCTTTCCGGCAGAAGGCCCTGTTCCAGATGATTATTCAGAAGATTGAGGAGGATGCGAGCGAAGATTTTCCCGGCGATGTTCTGCAAGGAGATGCCACGGTGATTGTCGCAGACTTGGCGGATACCAGTATTGACAATGAAGTGTTCGCTCTCCTCCTCGTAAGCTCAAACCTTTATGCAGGTGCGCTAGCAGCATGCCTTGATTAAATTCGTGCGACGCAGGGGCACGTTGTCAGTCCCGGTCTTCTCCTAGAGATCACTTCGATTAACCAACTCAAACGTTGCGGCAAAATAAAGAAAACAGACTTTGATGTACTGTCGTTGTTCTAGGATCTGTTGCGAAAGATATGTTGTCGACAAGGCCTCTGTTAGGTCGAAAACTGTCTGCGTTCCCTTGTCCGTACGTACAAAATGGGCAAAGGCGATTCGGAAGAATACGTCAAGGTCTTCGGGGGGAAGTCGAGGAAGCAGATACCACTTGAGCTGACCAGATCTGCTGCCGCAGATCGACACGCGTGGACAGGTACAGTACGTGACATCATCGAGGCCGGCTAGATCACGTATCATCTCAGCCGTACCAAGTTGAAGCAGTAAGTAGGTACAAGTAGATACCTCTGTATTCCTGACACTACGTCTTGTTTCCCCTCTTGAGGAAAACAGAAAGGCATTGCTCCAGTTGTGCTACTCTAGCAAAAACATGTCCTAAAATCGCGCATAAATCAAGACAACTCCTATAGATTTCGGCTCATAGTTCATCTTAATTTGCGGCCTCGCTGTTTCAGAGAAGCCGGATTATTCTTCCAGTTTCTCCGACTTAGTTATTTTGCTCCGAACCACGGTAGATCTAGTAAACGACTTTAGACGTTTACTGCCGCAGCAGTGGCCCCCTGGCCTCATTACGTGGCGCCTAGCAGTTGCTTATAGCCTGCGCGCGACCGAACTTCTAGTGGCGGCTGACGGCTTCCGAGATGTTCTTGGCATGCGGTAGCGCTCGCAAAAAAATTGCCCTAGTTTGATTTGGTTTGTCTTCTTAGCGCATGCATGGATTGACCGCTTTGTGTGGGAAGTCGTTGGCTGTAGGTAACCGTAGGAGATATTGTAATTCAGCAATCCTGTTTTCCGTTTCACTGTAATACGTCCAAACACGCCGATATACTGCCCTTACAAAACTGCGTTTTTGACTTGATGGATGGTTGTTGTCGAAGCTAAGTATTTGCACCATATTTATCGCTTTCCTGAACATTACTCTTTAGGCGGCGAGATTGGTGGTGGCGTAGACCGGACTGAAACCGGAGCGTGTATTGCCAAAAGAGGGAAGTGGCTGGGGCATATTCAGTGACGGCAGTGTTTGTGTTGTGTGTCCGTGTTGAGACTGTGACGGAGATGGGGGTACTCAAAAGTGCGAATCCGAGATTTGGACGCAGACCGACAAATTGAGAGGAGCGGGGCGTTAGCAGTGTTGGTCCGAGGTATTCCACTCTAGCGTGCTTGCCGTTTTGTCTTCTGTATCCAGTTGGTCTGGAAGATTACTGCTGTGCTTTTTACATCAGATCGTTAGTCTGCCGGTCGAACGAGTTGCCCGATATACTTTGACCTCGGTCCCCTTGTAGGGCCATTTTTGTCCACTTTGCCTACAGGTATCTACAGTGGTGTCACGCAGGGATTCGTCAAAAATTCCTACATGGCCGTTTGGTCGCAACTGAATGGGTATCAACATGTGGCAGACATTGAGCAGACCAGTACCTTTCAAAACCGTCGCTGTCACTTTACTTTTAGTATTCCTCGAAGACAGTTCAGTTAACAGTGGTTTAGCGTTCTCTTCTGATTTCAATGAAAAGTCCACGTTTGCGTCCAGTAGAGGGGTTTCCAGGACAACAGCTTGGTTTCGCATCACGGGGATTCCAAAAAGAGTACTGGAGCCTGTCGAAACTATTGCGAATCTCCACAGTCCCAACGAGCCAGTCACTCATTAGAAGGCGCTTGCGCGCATCCCCCGCTATGTGCCAGGAGCCCGCAGTTGACAGCGTCTCAACATTGGCTGCTGCCACCTTCGGACCAACTGCACTTCCCATACCGCACAAACCGCCGTCCCTCCGCCCGCCTCTTCCTCGTCCTCTCCGCCGTCAACTAACTCTCACAATTCTTCTTAACCACCACTTCCATCCTCCTCCTCCCCTTTCTCTCCTCCTCCTTTTCCCCATCCTCCTCCTCCTCCTCTTCCTCCTCTTACTCCGGCTTCTCCTCCTCCTGCCCTACTGCACCAACCACGGTCGCTCTGGTGGCCGTCACTCACGCCAGCATCACACATCCATGACACAACAACAGACACCATCCCCCCAACCTCCGTCTCCAGGGGTGAGGAGCAGGACTACACCTGCCCTCACTGCGACCGCACCTTCACCTCACACATCGGCCTGGTCGGTCACTTGCGAATCCATCGCACAGAGACTGACGAACCAGTGCCTGGAACACCAACCTATACCCACCAAGCTCGCCTCCACTGCCCACACCGCCCTCGCACTTTCACGCATCGCATAGGCCTTTTCGGCCACATGCGCCTCCACAACGACCTGCGGTAAGCAACCGCCGGCTACACCACACCATACCACCCTCACTGCCTCCACTACCACCACCACACACCAACACTCACTCACCGCAAGCACCCAACTACCACCTCCCACGAAAGTGGGAATTGTACATCTCGACTCGGTCCGAATGCGGCCTCGGCTGCACGGATGACTTGAGTCTGAGACTATCCCGACACGTCAAGCGTCGTGGATAGGAAGGTTGCCGATTAACGACCCCACTCGGTCCACACAGTTCGTCCCTTTGTGTGTGTGTGTGTGTGTGTGTTGTGTGGAGTGGCGGACTGGTGGGCTGAAGACGGGCTGAAACAGCACCTACCACGGCCCTCTCACGCAAGTGAGAGACACGCCGCTCAACCCCCGTTATGTGTGTGTATGGGGGGGGGGGGCAGGTCGTGCACGGGACGCGCGCAGTCATGGTCAGTCGGCCATGCCAGCCACCACGCCCATTTCCTATTCCAGTCTGCTGACCGGCTCGGACAGCGGCTGGGGTGTGGGAGTGGGAAGGAAGAGTGAAGTCGACGACTCAGCACACTTCCTCCTCACTATAAACAATCTAACGTGCTCGAAGCTGTCACGGTGGGCTAAAAGCCGTGGTTTGGAAGGTTGCCAACTGACGGAATAACTTGGACCTCCTCCTGGACTGGAGGTCTGAGAGTCAGGCTACAATGGCTCCTTCTTAACGTGGCCTTTATGGCACTCCCATTACAGCGTGGGATCCGAGCCAAGCGTCGGCGGCCCGCCTACGTGCAGCTGATTCGGCCGTGCCAGCCTCCAATCTCTGTTGTGTTATTTAAAATCCTGGTTATTTGTTGTGTAGACCAGGGGGTGTGGTGGAACGCCAAGGTTAGGATCCGTCCGAGCCATCCACCTGCGGCCTCCCTCGTCTCCGGTCTTCTTGACTCTGTCTTGACATCGGGCTCGGGCAAAGGAGGAGGAGAGAGTGTAGGTAGATGCAGCGCAAGTCTACTGGCACTATAAACCCCTGCGCAATTCACCGTCCCTGCTCCCACCGCTGCTGCTGTGGGGCACACGGTGGACATCATCGAAATCGATGGTCGAACTATCATCAAATTCTCCTAAACAACCCATCCGGATCCGACATCACAGGATACCGCTTCCTCGACGTGGAAGACCAAAACGACCTCGGTTCGTTAGCAAAACATTCTTTGAAACCATCTGATCATTGTTGCCGAGTTTAAAGTTGCTCAATGTCTGCTTTGCAAACTTTTAAACGGGTAGTCATGGCTTTAATGAAGATGTCTTATGCAAGATGTTCGTGGCACTCCTGGGATCATGTTTGAAACACACCATACAAGCCTGAAAACCATGGACGGTCCAAGATCTTGAAAAAGTACAGAGGACAGCCACAAAAACAGAGCACCTTTCTTTGTGCAACCCGCCTACAAATCTAAAACTATTTTCTCTGACTTATAGGCCACTGTACGGGGATCTCTTGCAAGCATTCCGCAATGTTCACGAATTAGATTGGAGCCCAGCCTTTGATGAATTTTTGAATTTGCTATCGCGATAAATCTCCGAGGACAAGACTAGTTGTATGAATGTCCTCCTTCTCAGTAATGGTTGTCAAACCATGGAATGCCCTTTCACAGTTGTTGTGATGCCACCATAGATAGAAAGCCTCAAAAGGATCTTCGACATATTTATGCTCCGAAAAGATCAAGAATGCCTAGAGACCGACCTCGACCCTTAAGATCCACGCCAAATTGTTAATACTATTTCGGGCTCATTTGAACTATTTCGGACCACATGGCCTCTGTACACTGCATCCAATGTTACCTGGCCAATGGAGGTACTCAACGGTTCACGCATATTTTCCTAAATAAACTGGAATGAACCTTGAAATTCGCCTTCGGCATATTGTGTTGAGACAGAGACCTAGCGTACTTTGTTGCCTCTAGCTAACAAGGTGAAATAATCAGTAGGCCCCGTCAACAGATTATGCGATGTCAAACTGTGAGCTTTATCGATAAATAAATATTGTAAATGTCAGGTGCGTGAATCCAGTAGTGCGTTCCCAAGAGCTATTTTTCTATAAAAATCCTGAGTGTAATGTCCATTGTTAAAGTCTGCCCTAGGGCCCATCTCAGATGAGACGACTTACAGGGTTTTGATGACGCGCAAACTGGCTCTAGGAGGCGCATATTTCCGCTAATGCCGTTAAGCGTCTAGCCTGAGGACATCCTTTTGCCCAGCCAGACTACGTGAATTTCGCTCCTCCCAAGCGTCAAGAAAACTAAGCTAAGTCGTGGCTCGACAGACAGTGACCGCATGTGGTGACTTGGCAAATGAACAAATTAATGCACTGTTGTTTCGAATATGGATACCTCCAACCACTTATTCGGTATATTAGGAGGAGAGCCAATAAAATATTACGCAAGTATGATGGGGCGAAATATATATAGGCAGAATAGCATTACCGGCAAAGACAAGGGAGACTGGAATGGCCATTTCTGGCTTATTAGCCGTCGTCAGCCGGCCATACCCAAGCCCGAAGTGTGGAACACCCGAGCCTCGAACTCGCGACCTGTTGGTTTAGAAGTCAACGCCTCTACTCACCGGGCCACAGGCCCGTTGCCTTGTGGTTTTCGATCGGGAATATACAATGTTATGGGGCGCTC